AAATTCAAAAAAAAAAAAAAAAAAAAAAAAAAAAAAGACCTTGGAGAGTGAAAAAAAAAAGTCATTTTTTACCAAAAGTTGGGAGAAGTTTATTCGGTTCATCAAATTATTTCCATCCTTGCTGCCGGCTGAGAAATCGGGGCCCCTCCCAGCTGTCCGAGAAGGAGGCCTGAACACCGGAGCCTCCAGGCTGCTGGGCCTCCGCGCGCAAGTGGGAGATGGGCCCCCCAAGCTCTACGAATGGCTGCGAAACCGATGCAAATTGTTCTTCCACATTGAGTGGGGGCTGAGGCACGCAGGTAAGTTATAAATGCCACCCCTAGAGCTTTATTTTGCACTTCCCATTCTGGGGTAGGGCAAATAGCACTTCACAAGTAAAGGATCCTGAGAGAGCTTGAGCACAGCAGCAGTCCACGACACGCTCAACTCCGCTTCCCTTGAACATCCCCAATTCCATATTACATTGCCTATTTACAGTATATTTTTACATTTTATATGTATTTAATACAATGTCTTACATTATGCCGTGCACTGTTTTACTTATATAACATTACACTTGCTTAGTGTCTGTCTCCCCACTAAAATGAAGGCAATGACATTATCTTTGTTTACTACAGCCCCTCAGTGCAGAGAACTGTGCCTGGCACACAGGGGCTCTCATAATATCATTTGAACTCACTCACTAAATAAGCCTGTTTTGGAAACCTATGTAATACCCAAATCCTTTCGTTGTCCAGATGTTCCCTCTTGATTAAAATGAGCAACGAGTTATCACCCTTCATTTCTCTCTTCCTTCTATTGCCCTTCCCCTCTCTCTCTCTTTTCCATGAAAACCCGCTTTCCTTTCTTTATAACTGAGTGCCTTCTAGGCACCAAACACTCTGTCTGGATTTAAAAACAAACAGAGCTCCCTGCTCCCCACTCCATCCCGGTCCCCGCTCCCTGCCTTTAGAGCACAGCCCACTGCGAGAACAGGAAACCTGCGCACCTAAGCCTGATGCGACTCAGTGTCCTGGCAAGGGATGGACTCTTTTTGAGCACATGGCAGGAGCATCTAACCCCTACTGGGGACTTTGAAGAAGGCTTCCTGGGAAAATCACTACCAGGAATAAGTTTTAAAATGTTATTAGGAATTAGTCAAATCAAAAGTACTGGGGAAAAGACATTTTTAACAAAAGATGCTTGAGCAAAAGAGAAAAGACACGAAGATCTAAAGAAAGGAGAAGCATGTTTTCTCAGTAGATGTTCCTTAATTTTTCTCAGCCTCCCACAGTTATAAAAAAGTTATAGTAAAGTAAGTATTGAAATGGCAAACTGCCTCACTGGTCCCAGAATGCAGTTTAACTAATGTTTTTGCTCAAATTATTTTCAAGTTGCTGTACAGTGTCACTTTATGGTGATAAGATGTTTCACAGCCATTCATTCACTCAACCAATATTTATTGAGTACTTATTATGTGGATATATTAGTAAAACAAAACATTCCAAAATCCCTTCCCTCACAGAGCTTACATTCTGAGAGTGTAACAATAAAAGCAACACATGTGCGTATTCTATAGCTTATTATATGATGCCAAGTGGCATGGGGAAAAGACAGAGCCAGATAAGGTGATTGGGCACCCCAGAGAGGGGTGGGGTACATCCCTGTGTCTCCCTTTGTTTCAAAATAAGAACAACACTTAGGATTAAATCACTATGCCCTCAAGACAATTGAGATAATGAAGAAATAACGTACACTTATTATAAATACATAATATATAAAACATAAGAAATAAATTATAACTTGTTATAATTTATTACTTATAACCTATTACTATTTTGCCAATTGCTTGCTATAACATAAATTAGCTTATGAATCAAATAAGAGCCTGCTATTAAATATTAAAATGATTCTCCTTTCTATTGGTGTATCTTGTCCTGAGAAACCAATAACCTAAACACAGTAGGCAGAGTTTAAGATGGTAAAGCACAAGAAACCTGTTAAAAATTTGGAATCAACAAACTTCATTTTAATCCTAGCTCCTCTGCTCATGTTTCATTGGATAGCATCAGGATTTAATACAGTGAGATGTTTTAGGATCATGTTGATATTACCAGAGCTAGGTTGCTAATAGGATAAATTCCTAAAAATGCCCTTAACATCCAGATATGCTTTTGGATATGTCTAAAATCATCTCACAGGAAAATTAAAAGATCCACTGGGAAATTCAAAGTAGGGCATTTAGCAATATTCATACAATAGGTTTTAATATGGCTGATATTTTACTGTTTGCTATATTTGGAAGAATAATCTGACAATTGCATATGTATATATTGAAGTATGGTTCCACACTGAAACAACTGGATGTGATACATAAGCTAATAAATCAGTAAACTGCTCTTGTCAATACTCTCAGTACTCTTTGCTTCCAACTTCATAGCATTCGCCGTGCAGTGTTTAGAATCAACACCAGTTAGTGCATTTCTTGTGCTATTTTTGTTCTGAACTGGGGGAGGAGAACACATGCACTTGCCCTTCCACACATATCAAGTTTTCCTATCATTTAACTCAGAACAGCACAAAACGTAATCAGGGCTTTTACTTAAA